TTACCCTATTTTTATATGCAGTTATGAAAGTCTGAGAAGATAGAAATTAGATTCCAGTAGTCTAGTCCCAGAAACCATATTCTTAACTACAGTGCATGCAAACAAACAAAAAAGGGACTATAAAGCATCTGCCATTTTCTTACTCCACTGAGCAGAACTCCTTGCTAACCTGATCATTGTCTCTTCTATTCTTCAAATTGAGGAAAGTTGCTGGAACTTAACTTTCCATCATGCCTCTCTAGCAATCATAGCAGATTTTATCATGCTCTTCCCCATACCATAGGTTTCACCCAGCTCAGTGTTTCATCTGAGTCACTTCGCAGTATCAATATGTATACTCAGTTTCAGCAAAAATACATTTGCCACATTGATCCAAGTATTGTGGTATACCTTGGAGAGTTTTACTATTTACCATGTCACACAGATAGCCACTTATTTGTGAAGACTGATCAAGACATTCTGTATATATACTATGCTCAGGTCCTTGCCTCAGAAACCTAGATCACAGAACTGGCAATTATCTGCTATCAGCAGAATGCGTCATTAAAAAAACACTTTGTTGTCAGTTTATATTTTCTTTATCACAAACATTATCAAAATTAATTGGGGGATATTAGTAGGTAAAAATATCTAAATCCAAGGCCCAGTACCTTGGAAATTTCTTGACAACAGTCACTGCTTAATATTCCTGGATTGTGTTTTCATTTTATGCAGTTCTAATGTGGGCAAGATTCTCTGTCTCTAATTCTGAAAGGAGTGGGAAAGTCTTTATAATTTATTAACCCCTGAAAAGGGCACATTCTTATGTCAAGCCTTCTGAGGCCGAGACAGAAAGAAGATAAAAAAATCACATTCATACTCTTAATTATTGAATTCTAATTTTAATCCCTCTTTCTGGATATTTCAAATGGGCATTACTAAAGGGACTAAGTTCAGGGCTATTATTTTATTATTATGCAATATTACAAGAATAAAACATTTTGTGTTAAATCAAGTGTGTGCAGGTAACTTTGATTTGTTTCACAATGTATATGTATGTCACTAGATAGTATCATTTAATTAGCCACTGAAGAGTCTATCTAAAAATGGTTTATCTTCAAGTGATAGGTTCTCTGTCAGATTGATTTTCTCTGAGGAGGTTATATTTCAGGCTTTCTTCTTTTTTTTAAGTCATTGAGCATCTGTAAATAAGTTTAATAGGTAGTAATATAACTTTTAGTTCAATTGTCCTAGAAACTAGCATTAATATATACAAAACTACTGAAAAAGGGAATCTTAAACTATGGATTATCTCTAGTTTGCATATTCAAATACAAACTACTATCATTTGAAAGATATTAAATTTTTTAACTAAAAGAAAAGATAAAATTCCTCAATTTTTTCATCCTCTTATTTATACTATCTAAGTCCTGTGTAAAGCCAAACAACTGTAAACTCCGTATATTACCACCAAAGACTTTGCCATAAAATAGAGGATGAATATAAAGCTAGGTTTCTTGCACAGACACTATCAATACAAGGTAACTTTGTCTAAAAATGCTTGATAATGTTTTTAGAATCCACTACAAATTACATATTTTTCTAATATTGCAGTGATCACATTAATAATAAAATACAACTTATAAAATAATTGATAGACATTTTCACAAATCCCAAACATAATATATATACAAATCTACTTTAAATTAGAACATTCCTGAGAATTTAAAGATACATTCAACACAAGACTTGCAATTAAGTCTATCCTTTAATACGTTTCCTATTTCTTAGAAAGTCGTTGGTTTTACTCAGCCAAACCCTAAAATACATTCTATATTTGTAACTTAAAGATGAGAGCTCTTCAGATAGGGGGAAAAAAATAACATACACAAGAGACAGCATCATTTACATCGTTCAGTTAAAAATGCCAAGAATGTAGAAGAGTGTTCTACACAGAGTAGAGAGTTAAAAAAATTAGTAACTAGATAGCCAGATATATGGGGGGGGAGGGGGAGGGAGGAAAGAGAAAGAAAAAAAAGAGAGAAAGAAGAAGAAAAATTGATTTAGTATGTTGAAATTTGTAAACCTGTTTCTGATTCTTACTCCCCCATTTACTGACTTACTGAGTGGGTCAGCTTTGACAAGAAGGCACAAATAATTAGTCTCTTTCCTTAGTTGCATAATATCAATTACTTTATCCAAGATCAATTGTTAAGAATGTATGACATAATGTCCATAAAAACATCTTTTAAGCTTTAAAATACACATAATACATTTATTTATGCACATAAAATATACACCTAAACATCCATACATTCACATAATAATGTAAGTCCAAGCTAAGATGACATCATGGTTACTATATTTTGACTTAAGTAAAAAGTTGGCCTGGGAAGTGCAGAATTTTACTTTCAAAACAAGCATAGAATTCATAACACATTCGACTGTTTGAACTGACAAACTAGAAACTAGAAAACCATGATATATTTAATCATTACAAGAAGCTAACGAAGGGTTTACATTAAACTAAATTCTAGTAAAGGATTAAAGCATACAGAAAAGTGTTATTTTGAAATAAGCAAAACATAATTTGAGGAGCAATATTCAAAAGAAAATAATATATCACCCTTAGCATATGGGGTATGCACAAACCAGAACAGATACTAAGATTCTTTTCACTACTGTGTATTTTTCCACCTCTTCTTAATTCCTGCAAAACCTTTCACTTAGTAGCATTTAACTCGGTGTACCACATATAAAGAATTGGATGAGATAATATAGAGAAGAAAAATTAACACAAATAAAAATGATTACTCAACTCAGACAAAAAACATTTATTGGAAAGGAGGCAAAAAAACCACAACAGTACATGTAGCAACATGCATCTTTTATTTATGTCACCTTGCCCTGAGAATTCTTCCTAGGGAGAGTTAGTGGCATGGGAAATTACTACGATCCCATTAATGTCCTCTGTCCAATAAAAAAACAAAAAGCAAAAGCAAAAACTTTCTGTCAATGAAGTCCATCATCAGGTAGAACACATCACATATATCCACGTTGTACAAAGTTGCTCAAAGGGAAAAAAAGATAAGCAATTTAACACTGCAATCACTATCAAAGCAGTGAATTGTGATTAGGGAGGCTAATACTGAGAGAAGCACTCATGCACAGAAGAAAATACAATTTAAATGCCTGGACCATTCATTGGCTGAGCAAGATTTTCTTCATTGTTGGCAGAATGATATCAATAGGTTTTTAGAGAATTAATTGTTAGGAAACAAATGCTTTTCCCTTGGTTAAGATTGATCACCTGTGAAAATGATAGAGTCAATACCACTGGGTTATTCAAGTCCACGTTAAAGTACTTAAGGAAAAAAAAAAAAAAAAACACACAACACTTCATTTCAAAGCCCAATGAACTGTTATGTTTTCGAGTTCCTATCATCAAAACTTTTAGATGCCCACTTTTAGATTTTGAAATTCATAGAATATACCATTCAAAATTTCTAAGAAAAAATTAACACTAGAAGTGTATTAGTAAGTTCTTGAGGTTTGGTTGATTATATATTATTTTGACTGAGACAAGCAGCTCAGTTCTTTAGATTCCATTAATACATATCTGACACTTTCTGTAAACTCAGTTTTGTTCAGACCTGAATTGACCGAAGGAGACAAATCGAACAACAGAAATGTCAAGAGCTGCCAAACAGGACTGGGCTAGCAGAAGATACATAAGTGTGACATAGCTGAGAAACCCCTGCTGTCTTAAAGCACAACTTGAGCACCTCCAAACCCCGATTTCTAATTATCAAAATTACTAGTTTGCAAAGGCAGAAATATTCTATGTTAAAGGCAGAGTGAAAATCAATCTGAAAAGCACAAGGATATCAAAGCCAATGAACAAGTCATTGTTCAAAAGTTTTATTACCCTGGAAGGAATGTAAACACTCTTAAAAAAGAGTATGTTAAATGAAATAACAGTTAATTATACTCTTTTCTTGTATTTATTGCATAAATAACCACATTCAAATTTTTAAAATAACAATAGTCTACTACTCTATACAGTAATAACAGACAGTGTTTGAGGAGTTAGAAGTATTTTTGAATTCTTTATTTGCTAGCATGTGAACATTCTCAGTCGATTGAAAGCTTTTAGTGTATCTGACTTTTCAGGATCCCTGTCAGATTCAATCACCTATATCCACAGCAGTTCAACACCTGTAAATATATTTGTTTTGCTACAATATTACAAAGATACTCTGACATAAGTATCACCACTGACAAATGATTCAATAATATAAAGGTTAACTTTCAGTGTTTAAATTTTCTACAGATCTACAGAACACAGTATTTTGTTATGCATTCAAAAGCAGTTAATGCAATAAATGATTTTAATATCTCTTAATTCCAGAAAAAAAAATCTCACACTGTTCCTTAAAATTATGTATTATTATTTCCTTAGATTAAAATCATAAATAAGAATGCAAAGTACTACAACTTTATTTCAGAAGCTAAAGCTTTTTCTCACTTGGTAAATTTTGTTTTTCCTGTATAGATACAACTTTGGAAAACTGTCCCAAAGAACTATCATTTAACAATTAGAAACTTTGACTCATTTTATATCTACAGCAACACTACTTGGTTGACTATTTCTACCTCTACTCTTTACTACTAATAGCAAAATATAAAGAAATGAAGCACAATGGTGTGTATACACACATGTATATTTTAAGAACACATTCAAAATAGCAGTCCTATAACAGCAGTTATTTTCCTTGTTCTAAAGAAAAGCTGAATTACCTGCCGTTTATTTTCTACTGCAAATTAGTTTGTCGGATACACGTTAGCAAGCTCTTTTTTAAATTCGTTTTGCTAAATCCACAGACCTTTAAATAATGCTAAACATAGCTCTGAATAAAAGCTTACCAGATAGCAATCCTGTTTGACCCTTACACTATTTTCTCTGTTAGACACATCTAGCTTTATTTTGAAAGAGAAGGTAAAACAGAAGAGGCTCTTACCATAGACAGAGAAAACAATTCGTTCAGCTAGATCCAACAGTGCTCTGTGCAGCCTGGCAGCATGAGTGATCCTTGGGCCTCACACAAAAGCGAGATAATTGGCTCTCAATGAAGAGATGTAAACATCCATCATGATGGCACTGGGGCTGAAACTGAACGCTACCTCAGCTGTTCTATGTACTCCGACTGGAAGATGATGTCACAAACATCAACTGGGTGTACTCTCATTGGCTTCTGTTACCTGGAATCATATCTTAACCCTAAACTGTCAGCTGCAAATTCAAATGCTCATCTCTGACTATAATTTCTGCTAAAAAGGAGAGTGAAAGTAATATTGAGCTACTGAAGGATCACAAATTGAAAATACTGCCCCCCTAATCTACTAAGATAAATCTACCTAATTAGAATCTGTGAAAATTTTCATTTTCAAAAGTGTTTATTAAATAACAGTATTTATAAAAGGTATTTCACTGACTAGATACTACAGCATAAGATCAATGAAACCACATCTGGAATTTTAAATTTATTAATTAGTTTGTGTTGATTTTACAGTACTATCCCCATGAGATTTAAGAAAGTTGAGAAAAGTTATAAAGTAGACAATTGTACAGTGGGGTTTTCAATCATGTTGGTCAGAGCAGCCATTTTTACTTTTAAAATAAAAACACAAAAATAGAAATGCATTTTACTATCTGAATGTTAAACAGTATCTCCAAAGTTTTATGTAATAAAGCTAAAGTATTATTAAAATAATAATGTTAAATACTGGTTTTTACCAAGAGTAATTTATAAGTCACTGCAGCTATATAGACAATCCCATTTCAATAATTGAAAGTTACTTTATGATATAGTGCTGTTCTCTTTGAGCACAAATGAGGAACAAGTATGCACCTCTTACCTACTATCTTAATCAAAGCCCCAGATTTCTTCCCAGGTTTAAGTCCAGTGGGAGAGGAGGATATGGGCTAAGCTGGCTGCAACAGCTTGCTGTCAAGCAGACAAAACTACAATCTCCTTGAAATATACCCAAGCTTTCCACACCAAAAGGAGCTGTCAGCCGCATCACTGTGAGACAGAATTACCAGAGCTATTCAATGACCAGTTCCTTCTAAATCTAGCCCAGCCATATCCCAGGGCAAGCCCTTTGAAAGCTGTGCAGCTCAGCATGCAAACAGTACAAGGACCTGGAGAGGGAGTAAGGAAATTCACTTTATCCATTCTCACCTTTAGGGAAAGAAAGGGAAGTCACCAACAGTGCTCTTGCTCTTGCGTGCCTTTATGTTGGTTCATTCTTTCTGAATAATGGCTTCAGGGCAAATAACTTGTTAAAATCCCTCCACATTTCCAATAAGAAAAAAATATTTTTACTGATGACTTCAATGAGAGTTCTAAAAGTTGATAACATCCGAGAAGACACTTTCATAAACCATATGTTCAATTTTTTCTCCCAAGTTCTGACTTTTAGGACCATTAGTTTATTTGATTACTCTGAGTGACAAGTTAGTGTGTGATACCGGGGCAAGAGTTCTGGATTGGAGTTCCAAAGATTCAGCCTTAATTCTCTCTACATCACCTATTATCTGTAAAAACTTTCTTAACTTACATCTTTTATGTATACAATGAGAATGATAATGCTACCCACAGCAAAAGGTTGATATAGAAATCGGATGAGGCAATGTGTGGAAGCTTGTTATAAAATGAAAAATATTACATAAATATAAGATACATTTATTATTTTGGCTATGCAAAAGATCAAATGTGTTAATTGCAAAGACACTTGGGAGATTTAAAATGTAGAGTTAATTCAATGCCCTTAACATAATGAAAGAAATATTTTTGTAAACTCTTAAAATTCCAACTTAAAATAATGTTGCAAATTAACTTGATTTAGAATATTGACTCACTCAGTGGTCTCTTTTTCTTGGAAGTTGTTACCCCTCTCAGAATTACTCAAAAGTGAATCATATTAGTCAAATGTAAGATCCTAGACTCAAGAAGACTATTTGTCAAAATGAACTTTAGACTAACACGAAAGACATTGTTTATTTATTTCTTCCTAAAAACATGGGAATTTAGATAGAAATGTGTACAAGAAAGATTCACTGCCATGCAAAGTGACATAAAATTGAATTACAGATCAGAAAGATGAATTTGGACAATGGGAATGTCAACTGTATTCCTGGTAGACAAATGATAAGGCTAAGATAATTGCTAAATGGATATGTCAAGCAGAAAAAAAAAGTATTTATAAAATTAAATATGCTCCTCTATTCTATATGTTATATAAAAGGTTAATTGTATAAATATTTAATGGCAGAAATAGATAACTAGCAAAATTAGATTATATATTGTTGCATGTAGAAAACATACTGATATATATATACATATATATATATATATCATTCAGTTATTTTGTTAAGATAAATGTATATTCTGGTGATTTTAATGCATGCATATTATGATCTTTCTTATTTTGTTTTGCATTTATTTCAGTGTTACAGTGCCACATATAATGGGCTTAGAGAAATAAGGCGCATTGAAGATTGGGAAATATAAATACTCCTGCTCTCAGGCATTTTGTATCAATTGCTCACATCATACAAAAACATTAATAAGCGATTATCTTAGTAAAGGACCCTGGTTTTGTGGTATGAATATATGTAAATAAGATTTTTTTAAAATATAGATCTCAATGCTTAAATATTATACAAGATGAAGGCTCTAATCAAGGCATTAGTAAAATTTTAAGGGAGTTCACTTATTAAATGTAAAAAGAATTTGATATTTAAAATCTGAATTATATAAAAAATAATAAAATTATTAGAATATATTTTAATTCCTAGGAGAATGAATAGGGGAGAAATAAAATGTACTAGAAATATTAATATTTCATATTAATGTTGGCCTATAAAAATGAATGAGTCTTTACCTCATACATTAATAAGTCAATTTCAAGTTTTATCGTAATTAATTAAGATAGGATTTATATTTTAGTTTTAAATAATTACATTTAACACTCAGGGAAATTTCAGATAAATATAGGAAATAATGGATCATATATGAAAATCAGTCTGGTAAAAGTAATATTTTATACATAAGGACATACAAAATATATTATCTTATGGTAGGGAGTAGTCATTTGAAATTAATGGTGAGTGGAAGTTACAAAGTTTTTACTAATTTTTTGGTAGTGTTTTTATGAGAAGAGCAGAGATACTAAAGGTCAGGGCCTTTAAGTAATTTATTTGCAGAATGTCCTTTTGAAGAGTCTCATTACTTGAACATCAGTCTGTACATATATCTAGATTAAAGTAAAAAAATCAGACAGTGTATATGTGATGTGAACGAAGTAAAATACTGTATATATATTTTTCAAATTTTGAAAATATCTCCAACTTCACATAGGGAAAATAACAAACACTACATTTTAAAATTAACTTACCAACATTGTCCCATTTATTACATTCCTCCAACTAGAATGGTCAGCTAGCATTTGTGTGTTACAAAGAATATAAAATATTTTAACTTCAATAGCATGTAAAAGCTTAATATAAGAAAAAACCTTACCTTATAGAAATTAATGTGAACTGTATTCTCAGTAAATTTTTATTAGTGAATGTTTTCTGATATGAAGAACATGGAATCAATAAAAATATTTTTGACAGATCAAGTAGAAGATGTTTTGCAGTTTAAGCTAAACACATCAATTTTATTGCTGTGCTTACATACGATATATTTCCCAGGAGCTGAAATCATTGCAATATTTAATTGCTTGACAAATATTTCTGTTACAACAATTTTGTGGTTAAACTAATTATTTATATTATCAAAACAAATCAACACTAGAGGCTAATTAAGCTGAAGAAACCATCCTCCAATGTTTCCTAACTTACATATTAATAAGGTGTACGTTAATACTAACTTCAGAAGAAATGAACATGTCCTTCAGGTGATAATTTTATAGGCAGAACTTAGGAATTTAAAGGAAATTTAAACTGTTCTGAACATTATTACTTACTCGAGCAGTTTAGAATACATAGCATTTTACTGTCTTGCAGCATTGACTAGCTGGTTACCTAGTTATCCACAAGATGGCAGCTCTGTTTATATGGCCACTAATGTTTTTTGAACATTAGTTAAAGAAATATAATGTGTAAAGTATATAAGTAACAAGTGTATGACAATGCTCATAGTTAGATAAATTTCCAGTTTAAGAAGACTAAGTTGAGAAGGATAGATATCTATTAAAACCTACTGAAAAACAGGAATTATTTAAATCATCTTAAAATGTATGACTTTAAAACATTGAAGTTTTGCCAACATATCTTCCAAACATTTCATCCCAAATTTCAGAGGTCAGTCTATTTATAAGAAATTATTATTATTTTATTTCCATAAAGACCTATGTTGCTTTTTAGAAATGCAAAGTTAGTCTTCAAAATAACTGTGACTGTGTACCAATGATAACTCACTGGTACAGTAAGAGATATCTAAGAATTGTTTTTTCCATCTAATAAATTATAGATATAACTAAATCTCATAAGAATATCAATTTATTGACTTCACTTGAATTCCTTTTTCATAGTTAATCATCTTCACTGCCATTTTTTTTCTTTTATGTCTACCTTGAATCTACTGTGTGGCAGCTTCACTATATTATCTGTATTTCTGTTTTCTGTGCAGATAAAATTTTGAAAATGCTTAGAATTATTAGGTCATATCACCTTTCTTTTCTGAGAATGGATAGCCCCAAGATGTTTAACTATGTTTATGTGTCAGTAAATTTTACTCTGGAGAAGGAGAAAATGATTAAATAAGAGTGAGGAAAGGTTTCCCTTCTTCTCTGTTAAAGAAATATGAATTCTTAGACATGAAGGTAAGAACAGAATGCTATTCTACTGATTTAGCACCCTGTTTTTAAATGTAAAATGAAAACATTAACTTATTGAAGATACCCCAATTTTATATACACTCTAATTTATTTGACTAGGTTCTACTAAATGTCAAAGTTAATCTTTTAAGAGACCTAAAGATCAGCAACCATAAAGATTTGTTTTTTTCTGTGCTGTCTAATCAGTATATCTTCTGGGTTTTATACCGTTCATTAAGGACACCTTACTTGCTTTCTTATAAAAGAAATATAAAAACATATTTTGCTTTGTCCCTGATATAAAATTTTACAACTTCATTCATGATTTTTCTCTTTCACCTTATTTTCCTTGTCTTTTGTGTTGTCACCCAAATTAGATCAAATTAAGGCCTACTACTTTCATCTTGACATGTATAGAACAATATTAGTCTCATAGAAACTTAAAATCAAAATTTGATCTTGATAAGGAACACATTCACTTTATATTACACAAAAATGGGTTTATTTATATAAAACCCACTGTGCTTAAAACATCAGGATGTTTACATATGAAAGACATGTGGATATTTACATAAGAAAGACAGTGAGAAAATAGTTGAAATAGCACTGTATGCTATTTAACAATGGTATACTTTTGTAGTAGAAGCCTCATCAAATCATTCAGAGGAATAGACATTACCACAAGGAGAATTAGTATAATATAGTAAAGGAAAAAAAATCATGATTATTTTCATCATGATCATCACTAGGTGAGTGTTTATTTTGTGCTGGGGCACTATGGTAAACATTTAGCATTGATTATTGAATTTGTTTCTTTTTGTTTACAACAACTCTGCAAGACACATTTATGTTAAGACTTTCAAAAGAACTCTTAAGTTTACA